GGGCGAGGGGCGGGCTGCCGGAAGCCCTGAAGGATAGGGGGGCGGCGGGGCCTGCGCTCCGAAATGCTGCCGGGAGCTGCGCGGCTGGCGACCGTGACCTTCCGCTGCTGCCGGTGCTTGGTGCCTGTGCCCGCAGCTCCAGCTTCGGCACAGGCAAAGTTGAAGTACAGGGTTCGGGTTATTCTCCGTTCTGTACGCTTCTCTGTTTCTCAGCCTGAAGCTAAACCTAGACCAGTTAGCATTACTGTGCTACTTACTGTAACTAAGCACAAAAAGGGTGGGTTACTATTTTACATTTCTTGGAGAATCTGTAAGGCCTTTGGGAAGTGATCGAATCATGGACTTGTTTAGTGTAGCTCAGTCACAGCCAGCTTCTTACTTCCTTGCTCTTGGTGATTTCTTACTGGCATTGTGCACTTCCTCAATTCTGTCCCACCACATCAGTAAAAAATTCAGTTAGAGCAACTTTGCCTTTTGCATTATAACAAAGCACTACATCTGGTCTCAATCTTCTGGATCTGGCTGAATTAATGGGAAACAAGTAGGATTAAAAAACCAGCTAACTGACATTACAAGATAAATTAGAAATTCTACTGCATTTGCTACCTTGTTAGTCAGATGAAGTCACCCCATTTTCACTAACCTGGACTTCTAAAGATAGAATCAAAGTGATTTTGTGCAAGATGCAAATTGTTTTCAAGTTCATTGGCTCACTGCTCTATTTTGTTGTTAGAATTTTATTCTTGGGCAACTGCTTGAAATAACATTTGCTTTTACTCAACAGGCCTGCCATTGTACAGTGACTTGACTTCTTTTGTAGCAGTTCACGTCATTACTGATGATGATAGTACTGCTAAGGAAGATTATAAGCCACTAGTGACATGCTCAGATCTTAAAAGTTGTCCCTACTTTTTAGCAAATGATTGTACTTCCAAAAGTCCCTTCCAGCATAAACTAATTCACAATGTAAGTCAGAGTGCTTCAAAAGTGTATCTTGAGCTTTTAAGTCAAAAAGGTATTTTCAGTTCTCAGAATCGCATGCCATGTCTACTTTTGTAAAGTTGATAACCCCATCCCTTTCAATCAGCATATAAATGTTCCATTTATTCCAACATAAGCAAAAGAGTTCAGGGACTTTTTCATGGGACCAGATTTTTACGTTTTCTACATTAAAAAAAAGAGGTACTTTCTTGAAAATGCAGTCTCATTCCCCCTTACTCCTTAGGTTCCAAGCAGAAGAGACCTTCATATTGATGCCCTGTAAATCATACAAGTAACAAAAAAGCATTCACCCTTTGCATTGTTGTTAAATATGAACTTAAATCTGCAAAAATGGGGACCTTAGTGTGGATGTTCCAGTCTTATCTATTAACCTCTAATTGACAAGGAAAGCTGTTACGCCAAATGAAAAAATACTGAAGTGCTGTACATCATTAATATACATTATTATACATCATTAACAGATGTCTAACCTTTTTTTTTTAAACCAGAGGTATTAAAAAATGTACTGTGTAGCAACTATGTAATCCTGGCTTTTAGACAGTAAAAGCATCATCCACTTTTGACTCTCTTAAATCATTAAGCCAACTATTCTATAATTATATAATTAAAACAATTTTTAAAATGTCTATTTTGGGAAATAAAAAACCTAATACTGATCTGTTTGATGGGGTTGATTTGGCTACTGATTTGTAGCCAAATACTAGGCAATGCAAAGACTGCACCTCCTCCTAAAATTCATTCTTTTCTTTGTTATCTGCTTACTAGTTTTGTGTGTAAAATTCCTAGCTGTTAATTTTCTCTCAGGGAAAATAAAATACAAAAATCAACACAAATCTTGTTTGTGAAAACAATGAGGAAAACATGACAGAACGATAAATGGTCATACAGAAGTTTTTAATGTTTGATTAAATCATCACAGTAACCAGAATTTTTACTGTAATGATATGCAGCTCTACCACACTATTATAAATAAAAACATTAAGATCAATATTAAATACAGCTCTAGGCAACATCACAGATTAACAAAGAATGCATTCTTCATGAACCAGTAACTGAATGGTTTTTAAAAAAAGAAAGAAAAAAAAATGCTGACACTTTCCCCCTCCCATCCACCACTTTTTTTTTTTCAAATTAGTAACTTGAGTAAGGCGCTGGAAGTTTTACGTTAGAAAATTTTTGTTGCACAGCACAGGCACATGTACTTCATTATCTTACATCTTACGTATGTTTACCAGAAGACATTTTAAATGTCAACAGGGAAAGCTTAGCAGATAAGAAGAGCAGAGATGAACAATTTATATGCAGCACTCAGGATTCACACAGAAATTATAAAACACAACGGGAGTGTGAACTGTATTTTAACTCAGACAGTACAGTCTGCAGGATTAGGTGCAAGTCAATACAGTACACACAGCAGTGTAGTGCATTTATGTTCTTCCACTGCAGAAAAAAATTAGACAACAGAAATCAGCATCACAGACAACTTCCAGAGCTGCCTTCTATAAATGGGCCAAATCCTGCTCTTTGTGAAGTTTCTTCTGTAAAGTTTCTCCAAGCTTACACAACGTAAGAGAATAAATTTTGAACCACTTAGCACTGACTTCACATGGCAGAACACAGCTAATTGCTGCAGCACTCCCATTTTAACACAGCCTGATTCCCTGTTTCAGTTCCAAACCCGTTTTTAATGCAGGGGCTGATCACCATGAGCCCACTGGCACCTTTCGCTTTCTACTGGTTCCAGTTGCTGCAAGAGATGAGATGATGATGTGTAGATGGCAGTTTTATACACAGAAAAATGAGTAAAAATTCAGCAGCGCACTTAAGCGCAGGCATTATTTTGGAGCTTGCCAAAAGTACCAGAATTTTGTTTCAGTATGTTATTGTACTTAAGATAAAATCACACTGAGTACTTTGCAAATAAAGACGTTTGAGGCAACTGTGATGAATGCCTTAGAGATACCTAGGATTATTATTTTAGACTTTCACCATTTGTATTTTTGCAGTCTCGTGGGCATAACTGTTAAAAGACAGAAATTTTCTCTAACCCCATATTATAAAGTATGATTTTTGTCAGCCAGATTTCTTAATTTTTTTCCTCCCAACTTTAGGCTTATAGCATATTGCCTTTTTTCCTCTGCATGTGTTTGATAAAATGAATATGAAAAAAATTAATCTAGTGACTGGAAAGAAAAAAGTAAAGAAGTTAGGGATCTGTGGGTTCACCTGCTAGCATGTGTGTTGCTGCTGAATTTTAAAGTCCTGCCAAAGTTTCAAGTACTGGATTCAATTCTGCCCTGCTGCTCATCTTCTGTGGCCACATATCATTTACACCTCTATATACTTTGGGGAAAAAAAAAGTCAAAAGCAATCTAATAATTACAGTTGCTTTCTTCCTATTATTTTTAAAACCCTGCAGTTTTTTAAAATAAAATTTTAATATTACTGTTCCAGTTATCTGCTAGTAAAGAAAAAAGGAAATCTCAAGGTAACGGCAGTGAAAGTTATATTTGAAAATGATCTTATATGCATCTGGATCATAAAGAAACCATTTTGTTTAAACCCTTCATCTAGTTGTAAACATTTGCTAATCCTCCTAATTACTTGCAGAGGATTATGAATTATTCTATAAAATCACATTAAAAAGGTAATTAGTTATGTGAGATATTAACTGATTCATATTTAATAGATTTTTTTAATCCATACAAATATAAATAAAGAATGGTAAAACTTCAAGAAAAATAATATACATTTAGTGCAAGTTATGATTTACATTTCCTCCTACCATGTCAGCAGTGGAACGTCTTTTGTGGAGAAGAAAAAATAAAAATGACCATTCTCAAATTTTACAGGGCGGGGGAAAAGATCTCCAGTGTTGTAGCATGCAATTTTTACCAGATACACCTATACAGAATTGTTCCAGCTCTTAACTAGTAGAAGAGCAGTATTTTTCCTTATACTGCACAACATTGGTATATATCATAGTGTTTTCAATAATACAAAAATTGCATAAGACCAGGTCACATTATTGATATTTTCTGCAGCAAAAACAGTCTTTTTCTTTGAAACGCTAGTTTCATCTCGTTTTAATTTTTCTCATATCATGACAGCACATGGGTTGAAAGAAGTCTCACATGGTTCTTGCAAGTTATTACCTGTTCAATCTGTTTTTGTCGCAGTGGATCTGTACTGCCCCAAGCATTTCATGATGTACAAACTTACACGTTTAATGGCACAAGAAAAACCTCCCTTCTTGTGATCAAACCTCGGTAACTCACTACATCTCAATATGAGAAACAACTGCTTCAAAAGGGCACACCAATTTTAAAGAGGCTTTGTTACGGCTCAGGAGAGAGAGAAATAAAGCTCTTCTGGAATGTAGAAAGGTGACGTGTAATAATTATACGTTTCATGAGTTAACACAACAGTTTTCAATGGTAAAAAGGGCCAAGACCTTTCAGTCTCTGTAAGATGGCTCAATTCAGAATGATCCCTCCAGAAACAGGGACTAGTAACACATCTCTTCAATGCTGAAGTACCAGGCTGGGGCTGGAGAATTGCGCCACCTCGCACGGCTTACCCACTGCACTATCATGGCAGACCTGACGTCTCGGGACGCATCCAGTGCAGGACAGCAGCTCTCCCTTCCCACGCTCCCATCAGCCTTCCTCCTTGCCACATATTCCCCCAGACCAACTCCTGATTTCCAGCAGCACTGTTATGCAAAAACCCAGCTATCGTCTCTGATTTTACAAGTATCCCCCAGACTAAAGTGTTGTGCTATTCAACAAATGAACCTCCTCTTCCGTTTCCTCTCTCTCCTCAGCTATGGGTTTCAGTTGAACATTATTGAGGCGGGGTCTTGGTTTGCCGTCTGGGCCATATGACGGAGGATATCTTTTTTTGTTATAATGCCAAGGAGGCGCCTGAAAAGGATAAATGGAAGATTGGTATTAATCCAAGCAGGAAAATAATAAAGCAGAACAAATCTGTAGCCAAGTCCTTTTTGTTGACAGGAATAGAGCAAAACTAAACAGCCTGATTTTCTTATTTAAACAAAAACATTTTATTAACAAAAATATTGAGGAACCACCGGTTTGTTAAAAGACAGCAATGCTGAGACACCATATCAGATGGTCTCTGACAGCTGTAGTCCATTTTAATGAAATACAAGTAATACAAGTAGAGCCCATGACAATTTTTATTTAACTTTTTGTTTCTACAAAAATGAAATTTTGATTAGCATATGCCAACAAAAAAGTAACAGAGAGGGACAAAGAAAAAAGAGGTATGAAAAAGAAGTGATATTGATCCCATTTCAAAAGGGAGGCATGTTCCAACCTTGCCATCAGAAGTGACGTACCGCTTGATGGCCCAAAATCCTCACAGCAAATCAAACTCCCCTTCCCTCCATTTTTAAATCATAAGAATCCTTCCAGTCTGATGCACTGGCTCAGGCTGAATGTATTCATAGGAGCACACTGTATCGGCCATGAAACTTTTGTAAAATAAGCAACAGTTAACTAGTTTTTGGAGTTCACAGCTTTAGAAAATAAATAATGAATAATAAAAGAAAATTTTCATTTGCCAATTTAGATACTGTGCTCTTATGACGGGGTCTTCATGGCTTTTAGAATTGTAACTCTGCGAAACATCAAAAAAGGTGAAACTGTCCAAAAGGATAGTATCACAGGAGAAGCAAAGAGCAGAATGAATGAGCTGCTGCCCTTGTTATTCTGGTTAGTACATTTCGTTTTGTCTTATTAAAGGACGCATGAAATACTTGTGAAATATGAGCATAAAATGAGAACATAATTAGCATGTTTTGCACATAAGCAGCTAAACTTGGTGGGTAGGTTTAGTAGAGATGTAACTAGCAACCCATGTCCAAATTAAGACAAAGTCTACCTTCTAGCTAAGGTTAGTTCACAACATCATGGTTAAAACAGTATCTGGATTCTGAAGTCAATAGTCAACATAGTAGCATGCCACTCAGTGGCTTAGGATATCACTGAACATTTTATAAAGGAGTACATTAATTGCTGTAGATAACAGCAGCAGAATCACAGGACTTTACATAAAATCACAGGACTTCACTAAAAATAAGAGTACTTTTAAAAAATGTTGATAAAGGAGGATTACAGGGAAGATCTAATGCTGCGATACATTAAAAACATGCTTGGCTTTGCTTCTCAAAAGACGTGATACTTACTTTGCTATTTAACAGCTATTTAAAGCTGTCAAGATCAGAAAAAGAAATTGGCATATATGAAAATCTTAATTTGCATTAGGAGGGGAGAAAGTATTCCTACCTGCGTGCTTTCCCACTGGGGGAAATCAGCAGATCAACTAGACGGATTTATGTGATCTCAAGAACAAGAAGATCAGAAAGTCTATTGTTTACTTTCCTTTAATGTTGTGACTAACAGTATGTCCATATGAACAGCTTAATTTCTACAAAAGGATTTTGCACGTATCATTTTATGGTTTAATACAAATTTGTAGCTTAAGATGATTTCATTGTTCAGCTGATGTCATAAAAGCCCTGAACAGTTCACAAGTTTCATGCTTCCTGACTTCTAATGTGTCTAATTATGAGATCTGATATATCTAATCACCAAGGGTTCGACGTGCTGCTTTAGTTGCTCGAGATGCTCTAATATGTTCTTCTTTGTGATGATCCCCAAGACAATCCTGAAACAGATCATGTTATGCTAATAACTGTGTGTGAAAACAAATTAAAAAAAAGTTCTAATCATAATGAAAAAGGATTAGAGTAGAGCAAAACTAAAAAAAAAAAAAAAAAAAAAAAAAAGGTTGCAGGAAAGCTAATGAGATAATTAAATGAAAAAATGATTTCAAAGTCAGTACCCTTTCCCAGACATTGCCTTTTTGCTTTTTCTCCCAAAATGCTGAACACAATTGGATCTTCAACCACTCCAGAGCAGTATGTTTCTCATATCAAGTACACGTCAGGGAGGTGTACTTCATCCCTTCTCCCTAAATTCACATCTCTTCAGGTTTTAGAGGCACTGAAACTAGAATCTATTTTATTTCCTTTGTTTAATAGTTATTTCTCCTCACACACAGAGATCATTATTCACGTTTTAACAAGCCACAGTAGATGAACAAAGTAATAACTGTGTAAAGTGGTAGCAACTGAGGTTTGAAGCCGCACTATGAAGTATGGTTTTCTGGTGTCCCTAGAAACAGACAAATTCAGACAAATTTCTCATTCATGACAGTATAAATCAAGAGCAACTCCCTGAAATGGATACTTCGGTACAAATTAGGACGAGTGAGACTCAGTCTTTACATATCTCTATATTTGTCATCAGCACCGATTTCTGCACAGTTCCTATTCCAATCTGGATTGGAACCAGTAAGTTGATATGTGCCTTTATGTGGGTGTATTCAATTTGCAGGAAATTTGCCAAAATATAGATTAGTCCTTAATGTCCACATGGCTATATGCCATGGCTAAATACCACTAGTACGAGTATTTACTATCATCTTGTTGTAACAAGTGTGCTCACAGAATATCACAAGTTTGTAAATTGAAGTAGGACAACAAATATGAATGTCTGAAAACAGCGAATTATTAAAGCCATCCATACTTGCTACTTTATCATAAAATAGTTAAAAATTTATAGTACAGTTTGACACAGCTTTGCACGATTAAGCTTTCTTTAGAGTCGATTTTAACATCAATGTCAATGTTTTAGCACTCAACCACAACAGAAACTAAGAAAAAAAAAATCATAGTAAATATTCTTCATTGAAGTCTTATCAATTCAAATTTCCCTCCCCAAAACAACAATAATTACATGCCTGCAGTGACTTCTAAGTGTCAGATCATGATGTCCTTTCCCCACCAGAGTAAGGTTTTTTAAGTCATTTATGCTTCTGAAAACATCTACTCACATTGAAGAAATAAAAGCAGGAGAACATTTAAATTTGTTTTAAAATACATCTGAAAAAATAAACTTGGAAACCAATGCAATATTTAAATATTTGCCACTTATAGCAGCAGTTCTTTTGCCCACAGCAAAACAAAGTCAGTGCCACCCATATTTCAGGTTTCTTGGGTTTTGTTCCATGGACATTGATCCTAAATAACGTGGATTAGCAGACAATGTTTCATTCCTCAGGTGCCTTGAAGACATGCTAAAGAGAAAGCAAGATACTATAGTAGGAGTTGCTATGTTGTGTGTCAAGTGTTTAACGCAAGAGATATAGGAAAGCAGAATGTTAAAGGAGCAGCTACACAGAAAAAGATCATGTCAGAAAAAACAAGGAGTAGTTTAGATAAGAGGCAATTATAATGAACATTTATGTTTCCATGCCTAGGGCTGATTTGTTTAGTGGGTAATCACATGACAACTCCCTATAGTCTCATCTACAAACATTCTAAATCTTAAAATTACTTTCTTGAAATATTTTGAAGTGTAGAAACAAAGGTTGCAGACTGAAGTTCAGAACTAGTAGCAGTTATTTAGTTGTTAGTATTCCATCAACAAGAGCTTGGTGGTAATGGCCATCACTAAACTCCAGAAGAGGAGATATTGACTGGATCATTTCCTCCCCTACTTTTTATGAACCCAGGTATTTGTAGATGTTCAATAGCTGATACATTACCCATTGCCAGAACATGTATGAGAAGGAGGAAATAGAGGCCTTAGACTGTGCACAAGACAAGACTACATTTCTGCAAGACAAGTTGTGTCTCCTCTACATGCAAGTTGCACACATAAAACTTGCTGAACGAGAGTTAATTTTTAAAAGAACATCTTAAAATGATTGAAATCACTTGCCTGCTCACTTGGAATGCAAGGGAGGAGTAATAATTTGAGAGAGATGCCATAGCACAGCACCTTCTTAACAAACAGTTAGTGTCCTCAGTTGCAGTACCAAACTTACGGGTTCAAATACCGTGATCCTGGAATATATCCTGGTTCAAATACTCTGATCCTGGAAGTGAAAATTACTGTATCTAGCAAAAATGAACAGCATTGCTGCAACTTTACTCACCCATTGTGTGTTACAAGGCACTGCCTCAGACCCAGCTTCCGGAAAATATCCACCACTATTTCCATTGGTGTGTGGTCTGTAACGGTGAAAGGGCTCATATCAAGTATGCTTCTAAGCTTCAAAGGTCGAGGGCTTTCTGCTGGAAGCGATGGGGTATGCTGGGCAAAACAGACCCTGGAACTGCCAACAATCCCCTCCTGCTTCTTTCTAGCACTTTCTTTAAGAAAAAGAGGGGAGGGGGGGAAACAGCAGAGGAAGAATAATTTACATTCTTGGAGTAAGATAATTCAGTGCAAACAGACTGATCAATCAACACTACCAGACTCTGATGTTATTCTCTAGATGCTGATATTCTGATACATGCTGTTTCGATGTGTTTCCATAGCCACCGCTTTATCCCTAAGAAGTGTTTGTGCAGAAATCACAAAAGCCATCTACCATACAGCTTTAGCCATTCTTTGGCTTCTACCTTTCTCACTCCAGTAACTTCCTTTTATTTACTATACAGAGGTGGAAAGACTTGAAAACTAGCATACAGGAAGCACATAGACGACTGTCAGGGGGAAAGCCAATCTCAATTGACAGCTCCCCTGTCATGATTCCAATGGCTGTAATTATTGTTGGTTTGAAACCAATGAACTCATTTCTGATCACTCTGAAAATGTTGTCTTCTTGTTTATAATGAATTTATTTAGCTTTTGTGTGAACTGGATCCTCTTCCTTTTCATGTCTTCATCACCTTGGTGACATCAACATCCCTCCCTGTACCCTGAACTATTTCACACAATGACTCTCTTGAGGCAACCAAAATCCAAGAATAAGCAACTTGCACTGTGCAATCTCAGCAGCTGAAATGAGTCTTACCTGTGAAAAGTGTATTTTTAGAAGAATTTTCTGCTATTCCTCCATTTATTCGTAAGTAAATGCAAACTTAAAAAGTATGATGTCTATAATAATTTCCAAGTTTTGAACATTCCTATAGATCCTACGTAGTATAATACCATAGTATACGCAGTATTAAGACCACAGGCAAAAGTTTTACTGAAGTAAACAGTGTTGTGTACACAAAACATTTTTTTTAAAAGTTTCAGGAGACTTTTGTGTCTCTTTCTCAAGTGTCTTTGTCAAAGAGATTCTTATCAATGTACAATCTTATGAATTCCAAAAAAAAAAATAGTCGTTTAAGATGCAACTTCCATCATTGATTTCATGCACCAAATGTTACAGTTTTGTAATATTTTCTTACATAATAATGATTTTCTCCTTTGGTTATGATAATATCCTCAAAATCCACAGAATTTTTCTTGTCATTGCACAAAGCACTGTCACAAGTATCACACGGGTTCTAATACTCACCCAGAGAAAGAGGGCCAAACAGGGCTTGTGTGCTCATGTGCCCAGGGCCAAATTTCCCATTACACAAACGAATTCAAAAACAGAAACCTAGAATAATTAGTATTTCACTTATCTCTACATAATACAATCTTAGTTGTTATAACAGTAGTAAACAACATACTGTCAGAGAGAAGTACGATACACATTTAAATTTAAAAATTACTTGGACAGTAATTCTCACAGAATCCTGCTGTTCTAAAATGAGAATTATTCAATTTTGAAGAAGAATGTTAATGTAGTGTCACTTGAGGAAAAGAGATACTAGCAAAAGCCTCAAAACAAACAAAAATACCAGACTAGATGATGTTTTGGCCTACTTCAGTATGACAACTCTTGTTTTTATGACAGAGACAAAGAGATTAACATTTTCTCCATTTCAGAGCCTGCTATTGAAGATAATCATATACTTAATAAAGGAACAGACAGCCTGTGCAAGGTATCTGAACCTGAAATAAGTCTAGAAACACAAAGAGTAAATTCTGTTTTAAGCTATAAAATCATTTAAATTGGCATATATAATCATGCAATACTGGAAGATAATTACCTATTGCAATAGTTAAATCTCTTCTTAGAGCAAAGCCCACTAGTCTCTGTGATTCTTTTGACATAATAACAGGAAAACCATTATAGCTGGTTTCATTGATCAAGTTTTCTATGTCTTCGACTGTCATATTATCCTGCGTCAGAACTGCTAAAGGTGGATCGCTTCTTCGAGGTCTCATAACATCAGCAGCCAGTGTTGTGTGAGTAAATTCTTCCTTTGCATCCAAGAAAGGATATCCATTCAGTCGGATGTGTGCCTCATAGATGCCTTCCCTACCAAAGGCATCTCCTACCCACTTACTGGTCATGACTGCAGCCATTAGGGGCACAATATATTCCAGCCCTCCTGTTAGCTCAAAGACAATAACTACCAGGGACACAGTCATCCTTGTCACACCACCTGCAAGAAAAATGGTAGCCAGTAACATTCTAGTATCAGATAACAATGAATTTAGAATTTCCTGCCATCCTGTTGAGAACCTCAAACATAACTTCGCCATTAAAGGTCATCTGACAAACATCTTTCTGTATAGTACAAAGAGAAGCAGACAGGAAAAATGAACACAAAACTTTCAGAAGTAAAAGTGAGCTTTAGGGAAAATTCCTAGAAAGTCAGAGAATAAAGGGATTTGAAAAATATGTGCAGTTCTTTCATGTAAACGAAGAATAAAACTACGTATTTCTCCATACTGCACCTAGGTTAAAAATAATGAGAAATGCAAGGAAATCTAGTAAGGTAAGAATTTGGAAAAAGAATGGAACTAATGCAGGGAAGTCACAGGTAGCAATTCAACAGCTATGTTGTCCAAAGGATTAGGAATTTAATGCTGTTGCTGAATCTGAAAAGCTAAGAGAATTCTGAGTTGATGAAACCTCTTCCTTGGACAATAGGAGAAGACAGGGATTATATTTCTCTTTTGTTAGTATTCAAGATGTTTTTTCTGCGAAGGTTTCTGATGCTGTATCTTCATTCAATAAAAGAATATGATCTTTCTTTCAACGCATTTGGAAGTGATTCAAGTTGATCTATTAAAAGTCAGCAACAACCTCTCCAAAAACTAAATCTGTACCACTAGTTTATTTGGTTGCTCAAATGCACTTTTCCTTAAGGAAAAGGTCTACTCTTTTGCAGGATCTGTACTAATAGCTTTTAAGTTCAACTTCTAAGGCAATGAAGTTATAAGCTAGAACAAGACAAGACCTTCAAAAACCTCTCCTAGTTTAGGTGCCCAACTTAAGCCTCCTTCCAATGAAGCCGATTTTCAACAGTTTGTAAATCAGACTTGTTAAAAATATCTCAAGCTGGACTCCTCAAATCATCAGACACTTCTGTAAGTTTTGTTTGGATTATGAATTTCAACAACATTTTTTGCAAATCATGTAGAAGCGGCAGCTGATCATGTCACCTCCTTGTAATAATTTCAACAGTACTTCACTCTGCAAATCCTCTACTTCATACATTTCAAGAAACTAGTTTTTCTGACTGATGTAGTAGTGACACCTCTTGACACCAAAAAGGGAAAGCAAACACTACTATTTAAATTCTTCTGTTTCTCATCAATTTAAATTTCACGTTATTCCTCAGATCACAAGGATCTGACGGTCTCGTGTAGAGATGTGAATGTATTATTCTGAAAAGGGAGAAGTCCATATAAAAAGGTGTTCCAAAACTTCACACGTTTGTCTCTCCCTTCATTTTTAATCATTATTTTGGCAACATACAAGAAATAAGATACTTATTTACTTTGTTATATTTTAGTTACCTAAGCACGCAGCAGCACCAACCATGGCATAAAGACCAGGTGTAATACAGTCAGCTCCAACTTCACACCACTCCTTGAAAATGAACCAGTCATGATGGTAGTAAGCCAGCTGCTCCACTGCAATTCCTACAATCCTTCCTGCTATTGCTCCAATTGCCATACTAGGTATGAACAACCCAGATGGAACCTGCCACAAAAAAAGAACAACTGTTGTCACGCTGATGGGAACATACCTGATGCATAGTTTTACAAGTAATTTTTTTTTTGCCAAAAGATATGCAAACGCTTAAATTGTTATGTTAAAAATATGTAAATTGACATTGCAAGGTTAGTAAAACTAACTATTGATACCTCTGATCAACGTGGTTACCTGAGTCCATTTTATGAGCACATCTGTTTATATTTTACTCTATTTAAGAGCAAATCTATCACCAACAGAGGACCACAAACTAGACTCTCGGTGCCAACAGCACAATTTTTACCATAGATACGTCCAACCTGAGCTGCGCAACTAGTACTGAAAAGTCTTCCTTACTATTTCCCATCTCCCTTATTACTTCATGTTCCTCTGAGTCAACATTCACTTACTGAAGAAGCTTTGCACATAGGACTGCCTTCCCAAACTGCTTCCTAACACTGCCATAAATTAGATGGCCAACTAAATAGTCGATTTTTAAAAGAAGCTTTGCTTACTATATTGCAGTTTCCCATACAAAGTGGTGTATATAGAATGCTAAATACACTAAGAGAGCAAAAGGCAGGACAACTCACATTGCAAAAAGTAGGTAACACGTTACTGTAAAAAAAAAGTTCCTACTGTAATTTTAGTTATTTAAACTGTTTTTCTGTTATTAACTAAAACCTGAAAAGGCCTTGCCACACCAACATGGCTTAGTAAAATATTACTGCAAGTCTTGCTTTTATCAGCAGCCTCATAAGGAGCGAAGGTTCATCTGAGAAACTGCTGATGTATCTTTTCTCCTCTTTAGGAAGCTAATCTTCTTTCCAAAAAACATACTGGTGTCTAGATGTCTCATTAAACTGGAAATGCCCACTGCTTCTCCTCACAGCAGTTGTTAGTATCAAAATATTTTTTACCATGACTGAGCTACAGATCTGACTACAAATAAATAGTGGAATTTTTACTTTTTGTCTAAATGCACCTAAACCCATCTTGTCAAAATAACCTCATTAAAAAATTGCACTCCTGGTGTAACAGGACACATAATTTAACTTTTTGCCACTGTACAGCTGTGAAATTTCAGTACTGTACAATTCCAAACTATAGATTTTGCCATGGAATCCAATAGCTGATGCAGAACTGTATTTCAGAATCTATTTGCATCATCATTATTATTACTGCCCATATTTATGGTTGCAAAGATGATTTCTAACAGACAAACCAAGGACAATCAAACATAGCAAAATTTGTGTTTGAAAGCCAGCAGCACAGGTTTTGGAGAAAAAGTTCAATAATCCTTCATTCCCATCCTGAATTACCTAGTATTTCAGTGTTGATAGAGGTTCAATGCTATCATTTTAGTGTAATATCCAAACTGTGCATTTATACCACCATACTACTGTTCTTTCCCACAAATAATCATGCGTCTAAGCCCCTTTCTAACTGTTAAAATCCAAACTTTTTCTTGAGTGAAATTCTTTCTTGGTGAACAGTTCAATAGCACCCTGAAAAAATAACATTTCAGATATAAAAGTAATGGAATAAATCTTTGAAACTGCCTCAGATTCTAGTCTGCTACAGCAACATGCCACCGAAATTCAGTCTCCACATGGAAATTACATCCAAATTGTTTCTGGTCCTCTGTTAACATAACTTTTTTATGCATCTAGCTCCTTCTTTTCTTTCCCATCACATGTGGATAATGGTTAGAAGTCTAACTGTAATTATGATTTTACAGCTGAATTTGTTTGCATAAGCCTCTGAATCACAAGTCACAAAGTGGAGAGGAACCTTCACTGAGAAGGAACAAGGAACAAAAGTTAGGTTCTACCTTGTCTCAGCTTTCTTCTCCAGTGCATGCCAGCCTAACTCAAGTTATACTACAGAGAAAAAGATTTTTTCTGTGGCACGTGTATCATCTTTGAAACACGCAAGAAATCAGAGTATGGGTGCAATTTTCCACTTCTTTGGTAGTGCAGTTGCATACCAGGTTCTGAGGGGAAGCTGTTATCCCACCCCAACTGTTGATCATCAGCATTTAGACACAGTAACGAGTTTAGTGATAATTAGCAGTACAGCATAGGTACAGAAGCCTGAAAGAAAAAACAAAACAAAACAAAAAAACCCAAACAAACCAACCACTGCCAGATCAGCTTCCTGGTGATCTATTTCATGGCAGTAAGAAAAAAAATGCCCCACAGGCAGCAGCTAAGTTGCTTTGCTTATCTCACAGGAAAACAGTTCCCATGGGGGAGACTTGTGTGTTTGCACATGGCTACAGCTCCAGGAACAGACCTGAAGAGCCCAGGGGATCCTAATGATTTAAATGACAGTCATGTCGTCTTTTTTTTTTTTTTTTTTTTTTAATTTTGCATTTTCTCCTCCTTTCATAGAAATAAAGCTTAAAATGCAAATAAATATAACATTGAAGTGAGATCCCCTTATCCAGGTCTCCAGGTACTGGCTGACATTCTAACCAGCCATATGCTTTAAAGCTTCAGAGAAACGTGTGTAGCACAGTCCCATCAATGACAGCAGCATGCCTCCTTGCCTATTGGCAGAGTGATAAATATATTCTTACAACTTCACAAAAATATTTCCACCAAATTGCAGATGCTGAAGTTTTAAGAAAATGAACCAAAACCAAATGAAGTGTAAACCCTACCCTCCTGTAATCTAGTGAATTCTAATACTCAAAGTGTGATCCTGTGGTGACAATCCCGTGGGAATGAGCCAGATGCACAAGAACACATGAACGGTAAGAAATGTTACAATGCTTAGAAGGGCAGAGCCTTAGATATAAGTGAAATACAGTAAGTGAATACAACAGATCAAAGTGGTCATGTTACAGAATAATGTCTGAAATTTTGACCTATGGAAGACCAGCATTTAAAACACACAATGGATTTCTCTTACCCATCAACCAATGTATGGAAAGTAACTTCAAATAACAGACTGCAACTTCTTCTAAAATATCAACACATGAGAAATACAACATGATAGTGTTCTATCAATTACAGAATGACAGAACAGTTGAGGTTGGCCGTGACCACTCCAGATTGTCTAGTGCAACACCTCTGCTCAAGCAGGGTCAAGTCCAGCAGGTTGCCCAGGATTGCATCCAGTCAGGTTTTGAGTATCCCCAAGGATGAAGACTCCACAAGTTCTCTGGACAACCTATTCCAGTGTTCAACCACCCTCACAGAAAAAGTGTTTTCTTATGCATGCAGTTACATGGAACAGCAATGTAGACCAAAAAGTTAAAGCCAGTTTAAACACAAATCCTGCTTAGTGAACATTCTACAACACGTTTGTGTTAAGACACGTTTGATAACCATGTAGTCGCAAAAAACTATGAAGTGAGCCTGACAAGACAGAAAATGATGAAGGCGTGAGAGTTATACAGCATTCAGAAAGCAGCCACAGGTTGGAGAGAAACTGAAGAGAGCTCCAAAACAGATTTATGAAATGACCAGGAAAGACAAAAATTATGCTGGACGTAACAGAGAAGAAATTCCCATTACAGTCACATGAACAAAGCCTGCTTTCTAGTCATGACATGCAATACTGGAAATTTCAGGAAAGAAATCATCCTCGGCTCCCTTTGACAGTCTGCAGTAATTACATTTATGTGATAAATGCAGAGAGGGGATTAAGAAAAACCCTACAAGTTGTTCAAGAGGTACAGTCTTCTTTTTTTCCATGTAGCAGGACTAGGGAACCTGAGTGGTTATATTTGAACTCAGATGAACTCAGCTCTTGGAAATCTTAGAATCATCCTTATTGCTGAATTAGGCCCATACAAACAGCCATCCACCCACACAGTTACTGTTCCCTATTAAATGTAGCACGCGTTTCTGTTCAGCCGAATGAAGGGCTCATTTGAATTTAATTAAACTTAATATTGTTTTCTAAAAGAACTGCTTACTAATCAACAGTAAAAAGACCTTTTTTTAAAAGAACTACACATGAAAAAAATTCTATAAACAAAGCTGCTAGCTTTGAGAGATAGAAAATGAGAAAGGCAATAATTAAATAATCACAGCAGATGACGCAGCCACTGCATTTACACTTACCTTGATACCAAAAGTGAAGACTGTCATGATTATTTTAAATATGAGTGCTAAACACAACTGCCATATAGCTGAATAGACTCCAGTGCCTGCTGGACGGTCAGGAATATCATCTACTATCTTGCTCGCATTCATATCATTTTTGTAGTCACAGAGGGAGGAGGATTCTAACGGCCCACAGTCTGTGAAGAGCTCTTTAATAAGCTCACTGGTGTTTAGCCTTGTATATGGATTAGGAAATGCAATGACAGCTGTTATTGCTGCAACAATAATAACCTCCAGGACAGGATACTTCCCAAATTTTGTAGATTTGCGTCGACGACACCACGCGATATTTGCTCGGATGAAAAACGCTCCCCAGAGCCCACCAAATACTCCCAGAAGAATAAAAGGAAGCAGTTCAAAAAGGTACCAAGGAGTGTGATATTCCACATAAAAAAGAACTAGGCGGCTATTACCAAAAGGATTGATGGACCTTAAAACAAATGCAGCTACTAAAGCCGCAAAAAATGATCTCCATAAAGTTTTCAGTGGGAAATAGTAACTGACCTGCAAAAGGCAATACATGAGAATTATTAGTGAGTCTATTAAAAATACTGGAAAGACTGTTTTATGCACGTGTTACAGTACTGCTGCTCACATGGCATATTAAAAAAAAGTACTTTTACATTATCAGTATTATTCCTATCACTTGGAGCACTGGCGCTCCAGCACATACTACATTTTTATAAAGCTCTACAACAATTCATACTTACGTCAGTTCTAAAGACAATACTAAGGCAGTATTGAAACCACTGCTGTTTTAAGACTGTTAGGAAATAATGCATAGTAATTCATGTTTAAAAGCTTCTCTGTTTATAAGTATCTCTTTCTAGCACTCACAAGAACCAGACTGTGTACTAGCTGCTCTCTCAAATTTCCTGCTAATACCGTTCCAACTCCATTCAACCTACAGTGAAAGGTTTCTGGCAAATGTGTTATTTTTATGACGTATAATTAAAATGTAAAAAAAAAAAAAAATCCTCAAAACACAGCATGCAATTTCACACTTAGGCCCCACATAGCCTGATTTGAATTTCAAGAGAGTTTTCTTCTGAGCTTTTTTTGATTTTTTTTGGCAACAAAGGAATTCCTCAAAATCCCCTAATAATATAGCTAAGTTATACATGAAAGAGTATTTTGCTTCCTTTTTTCAATTCAGAGATGTTTATATTTTTAGGTTTTTTAAAAATGCTAATGATCTAAATAACATTCTTACATATTTTGAAAACAGCTAATCAAAACTGATTTAATACGGAACACTTCTTGGAGAAGAGAGGTCAGTTGCCTTGGAGGTCAGTTTTATAGCATATTTGCCTTTTTAATAACTAATGGATTCAATCGTGTTTAGTGTCTGAAACTTTAAGAAAAGTAATGTTTAAAAACTTGTTTCATAAAACTATCAAATAGGTTTCGAAAGCGTCTTTTCACAATGAAAAAAAATGAGCCAGTTTTTGTTTTTTTTTCCCAGAATACACTCCTGGAGTGAAAAACTGTTGCATGTCTATCTGTATGTAAACTGTTATTACTAACTGACTCAGCCCTTTTCCAGAAAAATAAAGCAAAGCTGACATTCATCCAAAGAAAAGAAAAAATATCTTTAGGAGTTTGCTGATAACAGGACCCTTGACTTTGAAGTGTGGGTCCAAAAATAATTTCCTTCTTAGGATTTTTTTTAATATCTATCCTTCAGTGCCATCTCTTGACATACCTCCTCCAGACTGAAAAGGACTCCACCAATTGGGGCACCAAAGGCTACAGATACTCCTGCTGCTGAGGCAGCTGACAATACCTGGAAAAGAACAATGGTGAGGGGGTTTTTTTTCAGTCTGTGATATGCTTTAAACATGAAGAACAGAATCTCATTACAGTTATCAGTTTCTTCTGTTTCTATCAAGGACACACAACAAAAAAGCATCAACTAAATGTACCAGAATGCTCATAAGATGTGACCAGTGGCACAGCAGCCGCTGACCAGATACTAGCCATGACGCAGCCATGGACGCTGCTCAAAGCCTCCCCAGCGAAGCACCCAAAGGAGTCTACGCTTCAGTATGAAACTGCTGATATCTCATTTTCAAGAAATTGTGCTAGATGTGTGTTGCGGAGAAGTCCACCAATCACAAATATTATTCAAGGGACAAAAATCGATGAGAGACATAGCTTTTGTATCAGTCCTGGATATTTGTGCTCAGTAGTCTTCAAGCAAAAACTGGCAAAAAGATGTGAACTGAGATTAAGGGAGAGATTAAGAGGAACTGAAGCAGCAGCTGGTCCGACAGCATCATGGATGAATTATGTTCAATATATGAGAATGGTTAAAGTGTGTGCTAATTATAACGGACAAATTCCTTGCAAGAACAAGGCCCCCAAGTAGTAGCCCTTACACACCTGTGGAAGAATACACAGAGAAACTCAAAGAGAATTATTACATTATTCTGAGATAAGCAGCTAAACCACAGGTAAGTTAAATGATTTAAGAATATGCAGCTTTGAAATAGGAAGTGAATCCAAATTTCCCATGTTCTGCTGTCTCCTTCTAGAAGTAGAAGTTAAGCCTGAGAACTGAGGCAAAGCTGGGATGACACCCTTTTTTATTTTACAATACAAAAATTTTATTGAATTAATAGGAATATTCAATCTTGCTACTCTCTATGACTATACTTGCTTTCATTAGCATGGCGCTCTCTATTGTCTATATGTGACAAGGTTTTGGTAGCTTCTGTGTGAAGACATCAGAGGCTACGCCCACGTCCAATGGAGCCAGTTCAAGCTAGCTCCACAATGGACCCGCTGCTGCCCAAAGCTGAGCCCGTGTAGTGATGCTGGTGGTGCCTCTGTGACAAGACACTTAAGAAAGGATAAAAAGCACTGCACAGCAGCTGTGAGAGAGAGGACTGAGAAAAATGTGAGAGGAACAGCCCTGCAGACACCAAGGTCAGGGAAGAAGGAGGCGGGGAGGTGGTCCAGGTGCCGTAGCACAGATTCCCCTGCAGCCCGTGGAGAAGACCATGGTGATGCAGGTTGTCCCCCTGAAGCCCATGGAGGACCATGGCAGAGCAGATCGCCACCCTGCAGCCTGTGGAGGACCCCACGCCAGAGCAGGTGGATGTGCCACGCCAGAGCAGGCTCCTGGCAGGAGCCATGGCATGAGGAGAGGAGCCCATGCAGGAGCAGGTTTTCTGGCAGAAACTGCGGCCTGTGGGGGATCCAAGCTGGATCTGTCCATTCCTGAAGGACTGCACCCCGTGGAAAGGACCCATGCTGAAGGAGTTCATGAAGGACCGTCTCCCATGGGTAGGACCCCATGCCGGAGCAGGGGAAGAGCATGAGGAGGAAGGAGCAGCAGAGACAAAGCTTTACAAACTATCCACAGCCCCCACTCCCCACCCCCTTGTGCCACTTTGGGATAGAAGAGTCAGGAGTGAAGCTGAGCCTGGGAAGAAGGTAGAGTTGGGGCAAGGTGTTTCTAGTTTTGTTTTTATTTCTCACTATCCTACTCTGTTATTAACTGGCAATAAAGTAATCCTCCTCAAGTCTAGCCTGTTTTGCCTGCGATGGTAATTGGTGAGTGATATCCATGTCCTTATCTTGACCTATAAGCTTTTCATCTTATTTTCTCCTGCTGTGTTGCTGAGGAGGAGGGGTGAGAGAGCAGCTTGGAAGGCACCAAGGCTAACCCACCACACTCCCACTAACAACAACAAACTGAAACAGGACAGAAACACTGTTGTCACCAACCCTCTTCCAGGAATACTTTGCTCACAGGTTGAAAAGTCCTCTGCTGTCCTCACAACTAAATACATTCGTCAATTACCAAAATGTAGAGCCAAGAACAGAAAGAATTTAAGTAAAATCAAATTGTCTCTGAGGTGGGAGAAACGCAAACTTACTCTGACATGGAAACAATTTACCTTGGAGAATGTTAGGGATAATACATTTTTCTTAACATAATAAATAACATTGATAATCCAAGCCTAAACACTGTCCAAAAGAACAAATACAATCTTTTAAAGAAATTGGTGTAAATGCATGGATATTCAATACATTCTAGAAATGCTTTTGCAAGAACTTACCTCTCTTTTTTTAGCTTCATTTGTGCTGTACTTTGGAAAGAGGTAGGAAAAAATATTCCCACAGCAGCAGGCAACATGTACCAAGGGACCCTCTTTTCCTAAACTCAAACCTGATGCGACAGCCAAGACTAAAGTAATTGTTTTTATCATCAAAGTCCACTTCCCCAAGTAACCTCTGATGATGAAGCCACTCAAAATAGTTTTTATCTGGAAGAAAGAAAAAATAATACATGTTACTGCATTCTCCTTTCTTCAGAAAATAACTACTTTTACCATTTTAGCTGCATAACTTCAAAAATAGCCTTTTCAAATTACTAACTTTATTACACTTTAAAACCTGTATTGTTCAGATTGCTACACTGAGTCCACCTGGTTGCCAGAGGCTCTCCATTTGCAACTTACTCTTAAACACTGGACAATAACATACAACAACATTATCCATTACATTTTGTAGAAAAATAATCTGCAGTAGCTTCTAAGACTGCTTTCATTGGTTTATGATGTAAATTATCAAGTGAAAGTCAGAAAACTCCCAAAGGAAAAATCAACCTGCAAAAACTATACTCAAGGTCATCTATTGTAGCAACATCACACTCGCACCAATTTTACCCCTCTCTGTTTTCTCCTTATGTTTTACCATCTCTACATAAAAATTTAACAGTAGATTCCTTGACACGAAGATGGAAAAGATCAGCCTTTTTCCACTAGAAAAGATGGGCCACTTGCCTAACAGTGTCATATTATTAGCCTGGAAAATATGCCCACATATAGGAAATAATAGAGTTCTCATCGGAAAGGACAACATGTCTATAAATAGGATATACACAAAACACCGGGCAGCTGTGTCTAGAAAGTAAAATTTAGCTAAATTTGGAAACCAATTTAGGATGAAATCTCTTCTGGAATAACAGCACAGAACTACTCCAGGCTTATTCAGAGGCAGGATTTGTCCTTCAACTTCTACAGTATACATACATAAAAAAAAATTTACAGAATGACAGGAAAAGTGAGACTGACCAGACTTTGACTTTGGGTTTTTCCCTCCCATTCTGTGTATAGTAGCAGACAGCAATTGTAAAAACAATGAATTTTTGAGGATATTACACATTTTATTTTGTGATTGTCTAATGGTTTGTGCTAGTTAAGGCGATTAAAGCCAGTGCAACAAAAGATCAATTGCTGTATCAAAGGACCCCTATTCTGTCAATAAACCACTGCTCTCTTACCACCATAGGGAGGGTGAGGATTGGGGGGAGCTTTGGAAATCACTCTTCAGAAGTCTACTCTCTTAAGCTAAATGCTTCCTTAAAAAGTAGTCCAGCCAGAAGCACGCAGCAAAATCTACAAACTCAGGAGGTTCTCTAAAATTTGGGGTATTTTTCTCAGCAACAATTAGCACAATTACATTATTTCAATTTGAATACTCATATTAATGTATTTCATCAAAGTCACAGGGCGCCCCCTCTTGCCTTCCCCCTGACCCTGTAGGGCAGCAGGAACTTTCACATTAATATGAAATATCTATAATGTATATATCAGTTAGACCTCACCTCAGGTATCCCCGAGCCACAGGCATAGGGAGCAAATACCTTCACCAGAGAAACTGCTAAGAAGGCAAAGCTCAAAGCCCAGAAAATGTACATTATGTAGTTCATTATGTATGAACCTGGACCCTAAAAGCAAAAATAAAAAACAAAAAGAAGTCAGAATATAAATTTGACGTAGGAGCAAAATCACTACTTAAAATAACCCAGAAGTACTCTTGCTGCAAGTACACTTATGTACACATTTTGAGGGACAGTAATTGTTACCAAGTCACAAAAGAGAGAGTTTTGTTTGAAAAGCATAAAGTCATGACACCTGCACATCAGCAAAGACTGGGTTATACAAGGTAGAAAGTGTTCTAACACTTTATCTTAAAAATAAAAAATAAACATAGCACAGGTATTTTTTTAATAGCTATGAGCTGCTAAAATCTGCTGAATACTGAGTAAATCTTTATTTAAAAAAATCTGTAGTAGAAAACATAAAACCAATCTACTCTTAGTTATCGGCGAACACCACAAATTTCATTTTTAGCTTTTTATGTATAGCTATGATCGAAAATAGAAATTCTCGTGTTATTAACAGTTCCATACTCTCGTAACTTCCTTACACCTGCAACACTCCAAGCCCCCTTGCAATGCATGAAATTCGCATTTATTACACTATAACCTATTAATCAATTCAAATGCTGAAAAATGGAGCAGACAGTACAATCCAAATCCGTGTTTAGTACCCTAACCTTAAGACCATTATTTTCTTTCCATGTTCAGTTGAGTTGTTGAGCAAGCAAGACCATCAAAGAATGGGCATATACTTACTTCTGCTTGCCCAATTATTAGTTCTGCCCATGTTTTCCACTGCGGACATTTATCTCTCTCTTCAAATGTGGTTTCATTTGAACCCCAACAACACTGTTCATGGTTAAACCACAAAGCACTAAGGCAAATGCCTTCCTTTAAGTCAGTCATCCAGTCAGCAGCAATGTCAATTAATCCTGCCAATGCCCCTGTTTAGAAACAGTTTTGTATTAATATTCTGGTAAATAGGAATAACACACACAGCTAAAATGAAGAAATGTGCTGGTATTAATTGATGTAAATTGAAATTACAGACAATAATTGAAATTTTAAAGAAACAGACATTTAAAATATTACTGATGTCCAGGAATATATCCTATTGGCAATATGGTAAGACTAGCATTTGCTGAAGAATCTAGTACCTTGTATATTTCCCAAGTTAAATGCATGGGTTTTTTTCTTTTTTTTTTTTCTCTATGCCACAATTCTTCAACAGTCCACTGAAACTAAAGAGTTAAGAACCAAAGAGGACTGATACATTTTTGTGATGAAAAAGACAATAGACCTTTTGACAAAACTACCTTGCCATGCCTCAGAGAACTCATGAACTATTCTACTACGTTTTGTACAGAACAGCGTATTTGGAGAAAATAACTTTTACCTCACCAACAACAGTTAGAACATAAATAAAACACCAAATAAACCCTGATGACATTCAGGTGATCCATATACAAAATGACTTAATTCTGTAACATCGTGAGCATGTAAAATTCCTATTGCGGGTAACAAACAGTATAGCTACTAAGCAGTTCACAAACTCAAAGCTTAAGAGGGATTCTGTGTTGTAACTACATGCAGAAAATTTGCTGAAGAGTCCTCAAAAAATAGGCATTACTTACAAAATTTCTTCAAAGGATTTAAAAAAATGATTTAAAAACCCCTTTATTTTACAAAAGCAAAATAGTTTTTCAGGGCAGCAGTATACTGAAAAACTACTTCTAAAGTCAGTATTTTTGTGAACATGTACAACTGTTAGTTATAATTTACTATTTTTAAGGTATTAATCACTATTAGAAATGAATCACTCTAGAAAATATCTAGAGACAGCCACAATTTACTTGTGTAAGTTGGTAGCAGAGAATTACCTCTGATCTACTAATTTATATTTACTAATCTTGACAGACTCTCAGTTTGAGATCCTGGGCCAATCAAAGTCAAAGTCAAAGGCAGTATTTCAGTAGAATAAAATTTCAACCAAATTAATTAAAATACATAAACATAAGATCTCCCATGACTGAAATCAAGGTTGTACCATTTAAGATTCACTAGACACATACAACAGAAAGCAATTGAAACTGAAAAAAACTGAAAAACCTAGGAATGTTCATGGCCAGAATTTGCTCGCTTTGTTGCTCAGAAACATAGTAAAGCAATTTTAATACACATAGCGGCTTGGGGACTGGAAACACAACACTGCACTTTCCCACCCAAATTATCACAAGCAATTTCCAGTAATTGTAACTCCCAGTTTGTACATTCAGAGGTATATAAACATGCTACAAACTTTGCATATATATTAATTTATATGTGGTTTGTGAAAGTGATTATGTATATATCTAAGTAGTAATTATACAGTTACTATGCCTTTTTAACAGGCATAGCCATACTCTGCAACTAGTCCAATTTCCCCAGCATTTAATCTAAGTTCTCTGTTTGAAATACTTTTTTGGAAAAACTGGGCACAAAGTTTGTGACTTCTCCCTCCTGCACATTTTGGTCACTCCAAACTATGCTGACAGAAAGCAGCACTGCATGACAGTGGGGCCACAAACTATCAGATTATTTTAGCTGTAAAACTCATCCTAAAAATACATTAAAAAGAAAAGATAGAGTTGAAGTAGAGGCCAACAAACGCTACCTATTAAAACTAGTATTTTCTGTGTAACAACCTCTAGAAAGGTATGACATACATATATAGCTAGACTTTGCTCCTGTATAAACACATGCTTTGCAAGGAAGTGTGTTTACCAAAACCACACATATACCAGAGCTACTTTTTGGTCCATATGGAATAAGCTAATGGGTTCAGTAAAGTTCCTAGGGGGGGAAGGAAAAAAAAAAAAAATCATAGCAGAAAAGCCACCTAGCACAATCAATTAATACACTTTCATAAGAAATCCTACAGGAAAAAAGCAAAATTTAACAGGAAGGGAGAACACCAAACTCAATCACAAAGAACATTGATAGTTAGTAGATGGAAGTTCAGTAACTCTGACAAACTCTCACTAAATTCAGTAAGGATTTTGTTTTCTGTTTGATTAGTAAACCCTCCCCTCAAAACGCTAAAGCCTGTAAATCAAGATAGCCAACCTTTTCCTTCCCTGATGGAATTATGGCAGTAGTCTGAACCAGCTCTTATCCAGGTTGGTGGATAACACACAAATGAAAAGTACAGTAACTATACTTGTTGACAAATTTAAGAAAGAAATCCTCTGTTTTTTAATTTACCTGATGCCAAACCAGTTAGTGTGACTACTAGCCATCCTGACCATGCATCATACAAACTTTTTGTCATCTCCCATGCTGATTCTTTCTTCTTGCTGTTAATCTGTAAAGAGAAATCGTTATGTATACTTGTATGTGTTTCTGTAATATGAATAGGAGAAAAAACGCAAGTATGACATACAAACTGCTTGATGCAAGCTGCAGGCAAACATATCCTCTCTTTAAACTACAAGCATTCTCCTTGTAGTTAGTGCTTTACATAGATAAATCAGCTTCGTTATTCAGACACCAAACAACTGACAGAGGAAAGTAAATTTGCTTAAATTAATGAACTAAAACCCAGGAAATGCATTATTAGGATAAATTAATTCTTTCTATGATACACATCTAAAACATGTAATTATAAAATCATTTCTGTCCTAAATCTTAAATTATTTTTTGTTGAACCTCAAATAAACTGTTAGTGTAGTACTAACCTATTCCATACAATTCAAATTCTTAAACTTCTATTTCAAATACAATCATCTTTCTTTTACCTTTAGACTAAAAACCACACAAAAATAAAACAAACCCAAAACCTGGATAATTACATTATATACTTCTACACAACTATTACTAATGACATCTATTACTAATGACATAAAGTTATTGCACTGAAAAACCAGTAATTCTCATTTTAGCCTGATTTACTTTACTTTGTGCACTCAGCTGAAATTTGTGCATAGCTTGTTTTATGATTAAACCTTCATTATGTAATTGGATCCTATTCTTATGATTTTTTCATACTGTAAAAGGAGGGAGAAAGTATGTGCAACAAACAGGAAAACAAAACAAAACAAAACCAAAACAAAACAAAAAAACACCCAAGAAAGCACAATACTAGACACGGAAATCTAGAAAAATATACCATCCCTAAAGCAAATAAATATATTTTATAGTTTCCTCTGCATTTGAGAGATATCAAACTTTTTTTTTAATTAAAAATTTGGTTCTACAGTAGCCTGTCTTTCAAAACCACCATGTACGCATTCCTCCTTCTTTCTACATCTTTGATTACATGGCCAGTCTTACATCATTCAGGGCATATTTATAAATTTCACAGTAGTTCTGTGACTCTAATCTGTGAACTGACTTGTCTGACTTTTCTGGTCTCAGACATTAAAATGAGTAACAGCTGTGAGACGTCACCCTAGATAACCTATTTCCAGGTGTGATCTGCCTTGCCAGGATATGGTCAGGCCCAGCATTCTATCCAACGGCATATCCACTAGCCACTAACCTACACATCTGCAGTGTAAAGATGATGTTGTGTTAATTACTGCTTAGACATCAAATTATAAAATAAAGTATTACATGGAAAACACCTTCTTACTTTTCACTAAAAGCATTCAAACAAGGTACGTGTTCTCAAATCCATTGTCCACAGATCTCTTTTCCTTAAAAAAGCACTAGATAGTGCAATTGTGGATGTTTTGTTTTTTAAACTAGTGTAAGATTATTTTTTAACCATGCCAAAGTAAATCAGCATATACATCCTATATTTGCTTCCAGAAAGTTAAAAATGGTGTTTCCAAAGAAAGCAGAATAACACTACAGTGTTGTTACATCAAGGAACCTCTCCCCTGACCCTTCCATACAATTATAATTCAATTTTAACTATTCACTTTGGTCATTTAAAAATATTTTAGGAGAAATCACATCTCTAAATCTGTTCTGTTTTTAAGGTTAATTAATGTAAGCATCCCCCAAGTTTAGTAGTAAGGCTCTAAATAGCATATTTCCTCCTAAAATGCTATTAAACAAATCTATTACAGGAATGACAATATCTAGCATGTTAGTGACTAATATAACTTGAGTCCATTTCGTGAAAGAACTCATTGCAGGGCACACCGATACAGATGAATGGCCTGAACTTTGAAGATCTTCTAAAGAAATCAATAGAGGACAGGAAAAAAGCAAGTTCTGTGATGGGAGAGTGGAAAGGACATTTACCATACACATTGAGACCACTTTTTTGTTACGCATATATACACCGATGTAAGTGGTTTAGATTGAGAATTTTAACTTTCCATAATCCAAACAACCGCAGCACTACATAGCAGTAGCACAGATACGCTTGTGTCAGTATAAAAGCAATATACATCAGCGCTCACTTTTCCGTACAAGTACCACCGTAAGCACTATTGTACTATTACAAATCAATCTACACTGGAAAATAGCCTTAAATATACTAGCATGCAAAAAAGGCAGTACTGTAAAAATGTCAATTGGGTGATGGGGAGCTATTCCCACTCTATTAAATTACTGTTTCCTTTCCAAGTTATAATACTGTTGCAGGACTGCAGGTATCAATGAAACAGTGCTTTTTTAACAGCATTCAAGTAGTTCTAGCTGATGTAACTACTTACAAATTTGAAGTATGCACATATTTGTATGTGTTACTAGACCAGACCTTAATTTCAACATCCAAAAAAACCATTTTCCAAATATTGTTATTTATCTCAAGTACCCGTCTATGCCTTTCTCTGTCTTTGCACTTCTCCCGAACCCAATCAATGGTATGGAAGTCATCGTATGTTCCTACTCCAGGAATTGGTTCATCCAGAAGATCCAGTAAATGTGTTGAACTGTTGATACTTCCTCCATTTGTCATGGTATAATGAGTTCCTGCGGCAGAGGAAAGACAGGAATGAATTAATTCTCCAATAAGTGAAATATTCTAATGTTCATAACACTACAGCATATAAAATTTCTGAACAATTAAGACACTTCCCATAATATGCATATTTTACTTCATTTAAGTCTCTCAATGTTGCACGTCACTATTTTGTTCTGTCACTCATCTATAGGTTAAATCTGCACGTTAGTGACTTTGTATTTCCATTGGTTAAATACGAATGTACTAGTCAAATTGTTGTTGTTTTGTGTGCAGACTCCAGAGAAACTTCAACAGAACAAAGTGGAAAAAACAAGCAGCTTCGACACATGTTTAACTTGAAGTTTATTTCAGTTCATGAACTACCAGAGGAAAATCTGACTGTAAGGAAACAAAACCAGATGATTAGATATAAAGTTCACAGCGCTTCCGTAAGTTGTCAGTTATTTTGAACTATACATACCATTGACTACCAATCTATCCTACATGTCTAAACCAAACCTAAAATACATTATCAACAGATTATCAGTCCAGCTAAAAAGTTACAGAAAGCCAAGCAAATAGTTATTTTTTTAATTTTTATTTATTTATTTCAGGCAACTCACAGAACAGCCCTCAGTCATGAAAAGTTGGAAATACTGTATAAAGAAAATGTCTTCTACTCATTTGTCATCACCAGCTAGTTCCTTCACAAGCACCTTGCATAGCAACATCCCCAACAGTATTTCTTTCAGTGACCAGAGTAAGAAGAGCAACAGGACTACTGAGAATTTTTCCCTTTTCATAAGTGATCAAGAAAGTTGTGGGGTTTTTTTAAGCTTTCAAACATCATCAATTCTGTAGTATCTTGGCTTTTTTTGAGTTCCTGTGGTATATTTACAGACCCCAAGTATAATTTTCTGCTGGATGGCTACCTAAATATAGCACGGCCACCATTTGCCCACCCAACACAAACTGCTTCTGCAACAGTAACTGCTATAAAGGGAACATTTATAATGAGGTTAATATAGACAATGATTTAAAGACTGGTTACTCTCACTTGTTTGACTAAGAACAAAATAATTTGACAAACAGCATATGGCGTACCACAATAATCTCTATTCTTAAAGATGTAGGCCTAAGTTGGCCAAGACTTCTATCAGTTCAGACAGGCACTAGAATTCATTTCACTAGACTGACACTGGTATGGTTAGGCAGGTGGGGTTTGTCTGAGTTGGGTTTTCTTATTTGGTTGGTTGGTTTTTTGAGTTTTTTTAACTGCAGGCTCAGCTTCTTGTTGTTGTCAGCAGAAGTTTCCAACTTACCAAAAAAAAAAAAAGATCTTCAGAGGGCCTACCTGTAAACTTCCAAATGCTACGAATGCTGAGTTCACCAGCCCCAGCTCTCACCAGCAACAGACAATTAGATTTATGCATAGGTAAAATGTGCTTTTTCCCTTTAAATTTGTGAAGTCTGAGATCTAGCAGAAGCAGCGTGACACCTGGCATTATACTCAGACCCAAAGGTGTGCCTCAGCCATCTACTGCTTGAGAGGTCTCGTTTATGCCTGCTATATAACACAGTGTTTATTTGCACATTTTCTTAGTGGTGAAAGACAACACACAAGAAAATAATACAAAAATCCTCTTAAGACAAAACGCAATCTAAAATTTTGAAGATACACAAACTCCTATTCATTACATACACTTTTTTTTAAAAAAAAAATCTTAAAGTAAAAGAAGAGAATGCAAATGCAAGAGACAACTCCTCAACAATGCCAATACCATTCTCTCATGCTAGCCTGGCTGCTTAATACTTTCTTAATACTGGATTTTCCCCCAGTCTATGCCATATTAAATTCTCCCTCATCTATTCACCACAGCTAAGCCCTGTAAACCTCCTCCCAAAGCTGCTGCTAGTCTCTCTCAAGGCAGATGTAAAGAAGCATTACCTATGTTTCCATTAATAAAAGGCTAACAAGAACAAATTAAATCAGATTTGCTAATAGAGGTGATTGTGAAAACCTTGCTTTAGGATAAGGGATTCAATTCTCTTGCCATTTCCAATTCTCATAACTAGAAAGGAAGTCTAAGATACATGTCTGGCTAGCTGAAAGGGCAAGCCGATCTTGTGGAAGAGGAAGTAACAAAATTCACACTGTAATGATTAGTTTAGCTCTCAAAATTAAAAGAATAACAGAATACATTATGAAAATGTTATTTTTACATGAAATTAACCTCCTTTTGCAAAGCAAGGGGACATTAATTAAATTCAGCCACAGTTTAAATTCCTACAAAGTAACAATGTGATCCAACAGTTTCCTGAACCTGAGTGATCACGGTAGGACAAAAGCTTGCCTTTGCCCCGGAGGAGTTGGTTTTATGCCCTGCTAAATATGAAGCAATATCAAGCTATAAGGAGCATTCAATCCTATGCCACATAAGGCAAAGGGGAGTTGAGAGTTATAAATGTATCACAAGCAATAACAGATTATTTTACGCATATCACAAGGTGCTGAATTGGAATTCTCTCCAGGGAAACCATCAGGGATGGCACCATACTCACTGCACCAGACCCCAAGCAGAACTTGAAGCAGACTACAAAGAATGGTCATTGCCTGCATAGAGTAAAAATCCCACTGAAACTGTGTCAGGTTCCTACTTTGCCAGCATTTGCTGGCACACCAAATACTGGAATATAAATTATTACTGTATGATGGGGAGGAGACACAGAACAAGATGTGAAGCTGAAGAGGTAGTTTTGATGAATACTGCCGAGAACACCTGATACAGTTAAATAGCTATAATCTTGTACTAAGTGAGAAGCAGGCAGCAGTGATACCCTGCATTAGTGTGTGGTAGAAAGGCTGCCCTATAGAGGACCATGAAGAGGACAGCTGTATGAAATCTAATGCTCTGTATCCAAGATACGTTAGTCTGACAGCAGTGGGAGAGGACATCCTCCAGCTAGTATTATGATCTATGTAGCATATAACTGCTCCTTCCAGCTATGACGATAATGATTCTCATCAGCATAAACACATGCAAATTCTCATCATTTATTGCCAGTTTCATCAAAGTGTTACTAAATTTATTTTCAACTCAATAGATTTTGTTAAAATTCTTACCATAATATAGATTTTTCATCACAACATTCTGATCTCCAAGCAAGAAATCATCATTACCCTGATAAATTGTACCATTTAGCAAATGTAGCCTTCTGGACATTCCCAATGTTCAGAAAGTATTCCCCTTCCTTCCTCCCCCTCTTCTCCAGTTCTCAAGTTTCAAGACACTTTCTCAGGCTATACCTCAATGCAAGTGTTTTTCATCAAAATACAAGCAGCCTTAGCCTTAAAAACCACCACAAGCACTTAGCACACAAGATATATAGCTATGATAAGAAGACACCTCCATTTTCCGTATGTACACACCTGAGCCATTCTGCAGCTGTAAGGAAAGTAAAGCCTTCTTTTTGTTACGTATGAGTTTGCTTAAGACTTAAGACTTAAGACTGGGAAGCAGATGGTAAAAGTGGCAGGCAGAACTTTTATTATTACTGTTATTCCAAACTAACACGTTACTACAGGGAGGCAAATACTAATATATTGATCCTCTCAGGGGCTCACCGGAACGTACAACTCACAGGAATCCTTACAAAGCAAATTCAACACAATCCTTCCATACTTTGCAAAACTAAGGTAGCTGGCATCCCTTTATTAGCACACTCTTCTCCAATAGCATCTTTAACAATCCTGTATTCTCAACACATAACTAGCAAGCTGCTGCAATCACAGACTGCAAGCTTGCAGACAGTAAGCTTCTAGACAATAAAAGCAACATGCTTCTTCAGAGAAAGGAGATTGTCTCTTTTAGGTGATTCAGTCACTGTAGGTCTTGCCTGAACTACCTTTTAGGAAGGCAGCTGACTTTTATTATCCTTTCATGCATGTAATTCCAAGCCTTTGGCACAACCTTTTCTCAGCAATCAGCTCTGGTAGTGCTGAAGAACTGCTTCAACAGTGAAGTTGTTAAAAAAAAAAACCAACAAAAGCAAAACAACAAAAAACTAATAAAGAATATTGCATCATGCTGAAAGAAAAAACCTGTAATAAGCATTAAGGTTAACAGTAAAACACTGTACTTTGGGAGATCTGACCAGAATGAGGTACAGCAAAACCAAACAAACATGCTACATGGACAAAACTGGAAATAGATTCCAACATCATAAAAAAGCTCTCATCTCTGAAGAAGCAGGGGTTTGTTGTTTTTTTTTAATGAGAATGAAAAAAATACAATCCAAAATCACTTGAGAGGATGCTATGCCTGACAGAAAAAGCAGTCTTTACGATATTGCTCCCGTTCATTTCCCTCTGAACATGAAGTTATACTGAATGGCTGTTAGCTCCCAACACTGATCCAACCTCCTGCTTTGCTTAGCTAGTCCCTCCTGACGTAAAGCAGGAACAAAGTAGTTACAGAACTACTATTTTGCTATACTCACACGAGTTGTTGTATACATTAGATTCCTTCTTGCCTTATGTCCCCCCCAGGCAAGGAATCTCTCTTCTTTCATATTCTATATATGTGCCTCACACAAGCAGTCTTCAAACTTGATTGATGTTGAAACTATGATAAACATGACAAAAAGCTGATTTACATAGATTACACACAGCATTTTTCAGGTGCCATGCACAGCATTTTCAAAGGCTCCCTCACCTCCTCTAGTAGTGATCCCATACCCCCTTGTCCTTTTGCAACTCAGTAGATTTCTTTCAGATTTGAAAGCAACCCTGGGCAACATGTAGCTGATGAAAGTCGTGGGTTTTTTACGAAAAATAGCTGGTAAGTTTTTAGCTAATTCATTTAAAAAGAAAAATATCACGTCAGCAAGGACTAATACCTTTAAAACACGAGCAGACCATTACTGACAATTCACCATGGTACAGTTAAAAAATTTTCAAGATAAAACATTTTAAATCACTAACAAATCAAAACCTGAGTTGCCAACATTCATACGCTGTTGCATTTTT